CACCAGGGTGGCCCAGATCCAATCTGACTGGTGTCCTTATAAGGAGAGGAGATCAGGACACAGACACACACAGAGGGATGACAACGTGAGGACACAGGGAGGAGACGGCCGTCTACATGCCAAGGAGAGGTCTCAGAGAAACTAACTCTGCTGACAATTTGATCTCAGACTCTCAGCCTCCAGGACTGGGAGACAGTGCATTTCTGTCATTTAAGCGGCCTAGGCCGTGGTGCTTGGTCACAGCAGCCTGAGCCAACTACCATACCCTCAACCCGGGAGTTCCCTTCTCTGGGCCTCTGGCAGGGTCAGGATGCCAGGCGGTGCATCTGTGACGCAGGACCCAGCACACATGATGCAGCGCCATCCCGCACACACTGGGGAGAGGGGTGGGCTGGTCTGAATCAGCACCGCTGCAGGGGGTCCATGGCTCCCCTGGCGCTGCCCCTCCCCTGTTACTGCAGGCGGCGCTGGGGTCTGGTTGACGGACGGGCAGCCACAGCTCAGGGTAAGGGTCTCTGGCCAGGAGGAAGTGCCAGGGAAAGCCGATGCCCTGAAATCTGAAGGGTGAGGGTCCGGGCATCAGCCCTGTGGTGAGTACCCCCAGCCTGGAAGCTGGCCCAGGAACACCCACGGCCTGAGGCAATGAGCTCGAGGCCCAGGTTCCCAGACTCTAGGCTGGACTGTGTTTGGCCTTTACAGCGGCCAGGAGAACCAAGGGCTTGCTGAGCAGATTGAGCACACACCGAGCAGGGTGGGGCCAGCACAGCATTCCCCAGAGTGGACCTGAGAGGGCCCGGCAGAGTCACTGCGAGTTCCCCCAAGCGCTAGGGCAGCTGCGCTCCAGCGTGGACCACGTGCTGGGCCCCAGGCCAGGACACTACCCCGCCCCTCTTGGGGTGGGGAGGCGATGAGGTGCAATGACACAGATAACAAGTACAGGCAGGCTGAGGGCCTCCGCCCAGCACTGCTGGACCCAGGGAGTACCCCTACCCCAAGCTGGACCAAACCTGGGCCCTGGGGGGGGGTTGGGGCTGGAGAAAGGAGGGGATCTTGTACCTGCAGGCCCCACCCCCTGACCCAGGTGAGCCTGCCTTGAAGCACACTGGCCAGGTCGTGGAGCTTGGCTGTGGCCTGCAGGAAAAGCTGGTGCTCCCTAGTCTGGTGTCCGGTGCTGCTGACCAGGCTAGGAGCCTTGGTTCTGGCAGCATCTCTGGCTGCTCCCTGCGCCCCCAGGCTGCGGTTGGGGGAGCAGAGCCAGCCTCCCGTCCAGTTACAATCTGAGGGGCTTTCTGTCCCCTGCAGCTGAATGCACTGCCGACTGAGCGGGGCTGTAGACTGAGTGGGCAGAGGTCTCTCCTTGGGTGGACACAGAGCTTTGTCTCCGAGGCCCTTGCTGGAGCCCAGACACCGGGAGGGGAGAGGGGACAGGGGAGGGCGCCCATGTGAGAGACTCGGGGAGTTCAGGCACCGGCAGGATGATGCCAGCAGGTGTTTTACTTCTTCTCCTTCATCTGGCTTCTCAGCTGCAACAGAGAGAAGGGCGCCAGTGGATGTCAGGGCCTTCCAGGTGGGAGCGGATTCCAGTGCTCCCCGAAGGTGGAAGCTTTGGAGAAGCCAGGTTTGAGGAGGGGCTTCTGAGCCCCCTAGCCTAATGCAGGAATAAGAAAGCCTGAGGTCCTGTGAGGTCTGAGGGGACGCGTGGCTGCATGGTCCAGCACTTTGCTCAAGGGAGCTGGCTGGACACCCTCTGGGAGGCGGGGAGGGAGGGAGCGAGCTTGGCCAGGGTGCCACGTGGCTTGCACGCATTTCAGAGCCTTCTAGGGAGGAGATGACGAGGAACAGAGATAGGGATGGGGGGCTACTGATCTGCCCCTCCAGGGTTGTACACAGGCGTCACATTACATCCAGTGTGTTCAGAGACAACCAGCTTGCATGTGCCAGGGTGGACCCCCATCCCCCAGATGCCTGTTTCCAAGGGACCCCCTCAGAGGGTGAGCCCTGGGGTGACCTTTGCAGCCCAGTCCCTAAGGGGGAGGAGAGATGATGCACTTGTGGCTTCTGGCTCCCTCACCGTCTCTCCTGCACCCCCTTGATCTGCCTGCACCCAGGTCTCCTGCCCCTGCTGCCCTGGGGCCCTGCATCCTCACTTGTATCTTTTGTCGGGGCCGTTTGATCCCCACATGTCTCCTTGCCGTGTTCTCAGCTGGTCAGAGCTCAGGGGAGGGAGGCATGGTTAGAATTTGTCCCGTGAGTTGGAGTTAGGCACCACGTCTGGCTCTGCGACAGCCAGTGGCTGACCATCACAGCCTCCAAAAGGAACATAGCTCTGCCAGAACCTTCCTTTTAGACTTCTTACTTCCAGAACTGTAACATAATACCTTTGTGTCATTTTAAGCCAGTAAGTTTGTGGTCATTTGTTACCGCAGCCATGGGAAACAGATGAGGTGACCCAGATGGACGTGCTCCCTGGCCGGCCTCCTGGGTGGCTGCAGAGGTGCTGCCTGGGCTGGATGAGGAGTGGCCCTGCTGGGCTGCCTCCCGATGCTTCCAGCAGCTCCTTCTTGGGACCGGTGTTGGGCTCTGTGATAATGCCCTGGCTGTGACTGACCCCTGGCACCTCAGACTGGACTCGGCCTGGGTATCCAGTTGGGCTTTGGCCACCAACCATCCCCTCCCAACCTCTGGCTCAGGCCTCCTGGCGCTGCTGTCCACCTGGCTTGTGGCCCCAGGGCTGGGTCCTGTACCTGCCACCACCCAGCTTCGTGACCTTGAGCCAGAGGCTCGAGTCTGGGCCACAGTGTCTCCTCGGTCAGGTGGGACCCTGGGTGCCACGACAGTGAGCTTGCTGGGGTGCCTGGGAGGGGGCGGTGTTTTGGGATGGGGTGCCCAGCAGATGGGCTTCTCTGCCCCACATCAGGTCCTCTCCCTCATCAAAGCACAACGTGCCTCCTCCTGTGCCCTCAGGCGGGGGTAGGGGGCGTGGTTAGAGCCCCAGTGAGGAGTCAGGGCTGTGCTTTCTGCTTCCCCAGGGGTGGGAGTGGGGGCCCAGCTGCTGGCAGGGCCCCGGGACCCCAGAGAAGAGGCTGTCGCCACAGCAGGGGCCCCAGGCCAGGGCAGGCCCCGCAGCCGGTGGCTTCACACTGAGCCTGCAGCCCAGCTGCCACCCGGTGCTGAGGGCCTTGAAAGAGTGTGTGTGTGTGTGTGTGTGGGGGGGGTGGCCTTGAAGGGCTTGAGGGCAGGGGTCCAAGGAAGAATTCTGTGGATGCAGGTGATGGTACCCAATGTTTCTAAGGCAGGTGGGTGTGGCTAACGAGGTTTCTTTTGATGGTAAGGCACTCGGGTGGGGGTTTTCCATCCTCACGTGCGTGCGTACACACACACACACACACACACACACACACACACACGGCACACAGGAGCTGGGGCCGCTAGGGCCATGTTGATAGCAGTAGTTCACGTAGCTGGGCCCTTGCTCTCCACCAGGCATGGGCTGTGAAGTTCTCACTGCAGCCCTCAGGTAAGGCCCTTCCGCTCAGCCGATGGGGAATACCGCTGCGGGGAGGGGCTCACTGGGTCCTGGAGGAGGGCATGGCCTAACATTTGATCCCAGGCAGCGTGACCCCCAGCTCTGCTCTTATCTGCTGTGCTGCAGTAGGGCTGTCTGTGTCTGTGAGTGTGTGCACGAGTGGGAGTACTGTGAGTGTGTGCATGTGCACGAGTGCGTGTGTGAGTGTGTGAAAATGCAAGTGACAGAGAAACCCAGGATAACTAGCTTCAACATGGCAGAAGTTTATTTCCTTCCCAGGTAAAGGAGTCCTGAGGTAGGCAGTGCAGGGCTGGTGTCATGGCTCCTGGTCATCAGCCGTCCAGGCCCCTTTCTCCATGCTGCCCTGCCATTCTCAGTGCGCAGCCTCATGGTGCAAGGTAGCTGCTGAGCTCCAGCTATCATTCCAGCCAGCCAGGGCGGGACCTGCCCTGGCCTGGGGCCTCTGCTGTGGCGACAGCCTCTTCTCTGGGGTCCTGGGGCCCTGCCAGCAGCTGGGCCCCCCTCTCACCCCTGGGGAAGCAGAAAGCGCAGGAAAGGGAAGAAGAAAGACATGCCACCTCCACCTAAGGGATTTGCGTGCCCACTCCCAGCTAGGCCTCGAGGTTTCCATTAATAAGGAAAGGGGAGACTGGAGAGTGGGAGGCTACTCTGCCTGCGGGGGACACTTGACAGGCAGGAGAAGGCTCTGGGCCTCCCAACCCAGGGGATGTCAAGCTGGTGGGGCTCTAGGGGTCCTCTAAGCCTTGTTCTACTCTGATGGGGAAACTGAGGCCCAGGCCTCCTCCCTCCCATCCCAGGGCTCTATCTTCCCACCAGTCAAGAAGCCTAAGTGCCCAGCAGCCAATGGCACCAGCCCAGCCATAGCAGACACTGGGGATCCTGCAGGTTCTTCTATGCAGCCCCTTCCCACTAGCCCCCTCCTCTTCTCCTCAGGAACTCACAGGTCCATTCTGCCTCTCCCTGCACCCCCCAGACCCCCCTACTCCACGCCCACCAGGCTGAGCAGCTGGCTGGAAAGTCCTGTCTCAGCCTACCTTCCTGCCTCCCTCTCTTCTCTCCTTCTCTCCCAGCTGCCCTTCATTAACTAACCCCCCCACCCCTGCGGCCCCCCAGGGGCTTCCTCCATGGGGGGGAAGCCTCCCTCCCACAGCGGCCCCCCTACATGGGCTGGGAGGCAGATGTGCGCATCCTGGGAAAGGGCAAAGCTTGACCCAGGCGACAGCCGTGTGGATGGAGGTGATGCATTGGCGAGAAGCTGAGGAGAGAAGGGTGCGGGCTCCCCTGGCATACGATGAGACTTTTCTGGGGCTGCATGGACCCACCTGTGAGTGGCTGAGGCCTGGACCGGAGGCCCTCCTGCTGGCCATCTCACCCTGCAGCGGGGAGAGGAGGCCAAGAATGCTAGATGGGGAAATGCAGATGGGGCTGGGAGGAGCCAGTGCAGGCCCGATCATTAAAGACACTCCATGTTTATTCTCCAAAGATGGTGTTGGGGGTTTCAGGAGGGGAAGGCACTGGCCAGAGTGCTGACCAGCCAGGGTATAAGCTGGGCTGGGGACCCCACACCTGAATGGGGTCCCATTCAGGACCCCATTGCCTGAAGGCCGGCAAGGAGGCTGAGCAGGAGGGCAGTGGCCACAGCCGTGGGGCTACCCGGGGGGCGCCCTGCCCCACCGCCCTGGGGGCTGCCTGCCCCCTTGTCCAGTGGGTCCTGCCAGGGTGGGACGTTGCACAGGGTGGACTGGCAGCAGGTCATGGTCATCAGGGTCTCCTCCACTGTCCTGTTGGTGGGTTGACACGTGTCGGCACACCACGCCGAGTAGGTGGTCAGGGGACCCAACTCTGGGGACGGGGAGCGGTGGAGAAAGGGTGCGTCTCACAGACGGCAGGGCAGGGACAGGCCCCTCACAGGGGTGTGTGCCTGTCCTGGCCCCGGGCCCGGGTGATGGCCCTCGCAGCCGCCCCAGGGCGCCCGCTCACCGGTGCTCCCGTGGTAGATGAGGGTCTTGCAGAAGGTCTGGCTGAGGACGCAGCTCTGTGTCTGGTTGCAGAGCTCCTCGCTGTGCAGGGACTGGCAGGAGTAGCAGCGCAGCAGCCCTGGGGGCACGGCGGTGGGCTCAGGCCCGGCCACAGGCCAGAGCGCCTCCCCCTCCACCACGGAGCGGCCTCCAGCCTGTGCTGGTGTGGGCCTCTTCCCCTCCAAGTCTCCCCCAGTTCCTGTCCACCTCTCCCTTCTCAGCTGATCCCCCACAAAGCCTGCTCTGCTGGAGCCTCCCTGCGGCCTCCTCCTCAGGACTGGCCGGCCCACCTTCCCCTCCCTGCCCCAGACTGCTCATGTCACTCTGAACTGAGATTACCACCTAGGCCTTTGCATTCCTTCGCTGGTCTCTCCACCCTGGGGCTCTGCTGCACCCCTCTCTGCTTAGTGAACTCCTATTCAACCTCTCCACCCTGGCACCCTTGCCCTTCCCAGGAGTGGCTCCTTCTGTAGGCTCCCTACTCTGGATGGCAGTGGAGGGTCCTGGTCAGAGTGAGAGGTGAGGGGTGTGCTGAGTGTCAGGGTTCCTCCTCATCCCCTCCCCTGCCCTGCTGAGAGGCAGGCTCACAGGCGAGGCCTCTGCCTGTCGGTTCCCCATCACACCAGCACCACACAGGGTGTTGAAAAGAGGGACGGGTGCCCGCTGTCTGGGGCCAGACGGAGGGTACCTCTGCCCCTGCTCTCTGCAGTCATGCTGGCCTCCTCATCCTCCTCGTCCTCGTCGTCCTCGTAGCCCTCCGGGCCAAAGTCGGAGTCTTCATCCTCCTCATCCTGCGCCCGCCCTCTCCCTGGCCGTGCAGGAACGCCTGTAAACCTCCGCTACCCAGGTACAGAGGACACACGCTCGGGGCCCCGTGCGCACCCCCAGCCCCTCACTTTGTCCTCTCCCCACCCCTCCGTCCTCTTCCTCCCCACTCTGTCCTCCCGCCGCCTCCCAAGCTGGTGAGGTCCCTGTCTGGCCCTGGCCCTGCTCACTCACCCGGGCGCAGCCTAGCATTGTCCTTACCAACAACACCAGCGGCTGTGGACGGCCCTTTACAGCAGCTGCGCGCCGCCCCCCCCGCCGCCCCCGCCGCCCAGTAAACCTTCAGGATGGCCTGCCCATTTTACAGAAGAGGAAATTGAGGCTGGGAGAGGAGGGGGAATCTCAAAGCCCGCATTTCAAAGATGCCGAGTGGGGAACCTGGCTGTGGGGGGGCTGCAGAGGTTTGGGGGTCTGTGGGAGCCCAGGACAACCCCCTTCACCTGCCTCTGGCCTTGGACGCCAGCCTCACCCACTCCTTTTCCCCCAAGCTGTGTCTTGCCCCCAGGCTGGGGGTCCCTGGGGGTCCCCACGGGCCTAGACTATGCTGTCCCCTTCACTGCAGGGTCTCCCTTAGCCCTTAGTACCTGGCTGCCGGCACAACAGCAGGGCAAACAGGACAGCCGTGAGCGCCTTCATCCTGCTGGGGCCGCCGGGGCTGCCCGCTCGGGTCCTTGCTCGGCTCTGGGTCTGTGGGAAGTGGGACAAGATGCATTGCCGGGGGCTTCCTTGAGGCCCTGGCCCCCCCAGCTCCAGCCTCAAACAATGGGTCTCACACTGGTCCCCGCGCCAGGCACCAGGCCAGGGATGACCACTTCCCTCCCTGACTTCAGGGGCCCCAGAGGGAGGGGAAGTCATTGTGGTCGGCCTTGGGGCATCCTGTCCACCTGTGCTGCCCGCCCCCCTCCACCCCCGGCCTGGCTCGCCGGCCTTGGTGCCTCAGCCCCGTGGTGCGGGCTGGTGGGCCTGGCCCTGGGCTGGGGCTGTGCCTGACAGCCCCCTGTCCCATGTCTGGACCCTGTGGGACCCAGGCCCAGGCCGCACAGCCGCAGGAGCTTGGCGTCGCAGACCCTCCAGCTGCAGGCTGCCCATCGGGCACCTTCAACCCTGTGTCAGCTTCACCCATAGTCCAGGGCTTCTTAAGAGTATTTTAAATAAAAGCCCAATAAACATCCTCCCCCGACTCCTCCCCTCTCCCCCAGCAGCGCACTGGTTCCCTGGCTGCCTGGCTGCCCTCGCTCCCACCTCAGGCCTTTGTCCTCGCTGTTTCCTCCCCCTGGAATGCTGTGCCTGCCGATGTCCATGCTGCCTGTCCCCTCACCTGCTCAGATGTCACCTCCTCAGAGAGGCCTCCCTGCCGTCACTCATCTCATGGCCTGTCTTTCCCTCGTGTTTGCTCCCTGACCAGGGGGCACCCCTGCCCTGGGGAACGCTCTCTGTGCCAGGCTGTCCAGGGCTGGTGGGAGCTGGGAGCAGCCAGCAGCTGGCCTCCCTCACCCGCCTGCCCACCCTCTGCCTGTGGCTCCTGTGTGAGAGGCCTGGGCTGCTCAGGCCAGCTTGGCAGCCTCCCGGCTGTGTCCCTGGGTGCACCCCTTCCTCCTCTGAGGGCCATAGACTGTGGAAATGGGGATGCTGGAAGCCCTGTCCCCCACTCCGGCAGCCAAAGTCACTTTCCAGCTGGAGTCTCATCCAGTCCGGCGTCCGGGCCCTAGACCTGCCCTCTTCACTCCTCAGACTGTGTCCACGGCAGCCCCCAGCCAACCCAGCTTCCTCCTACAGGCCTTTCCATCTGGGGTCACAGGAGCTGCTCCCAGGAAGGGCCCCACAGGGTTCCCAGAACTGGTAGGGAACAGGGGTCTCCACCTGCCGCCTGCCCCTCCCCAAGCCCAGCTCCTCCTCGGCCCAGGTGCCAGCTGCCCAGCCCAGGCCAGAGCTTGTTGTCAGAATCACCTAGGGATATTAATAGCCCCGTTTAGTTCACTAATTAAAATTCAGTGTAATTGATACCAGCCCTCAACAACTCTGGGAGGTGGGGTGTTTCCATCACTGCTGTACTGACCACCACTGCCCCCTCCCCCCCCCACACCCCAGGCTGCACGCTCACCACCCCGCTCTGCGACCTCGCCACCCCCCCTTCCACAGCCTTGTCACCCCTCCTCCATGGCCTCACCGCCCTGCTCCTGCGGCCTCACCATCCCCTTCCACTGCCAGCAGGCACTGCTCCCTCTTCCCCAGGAAAGGAGCTGGGGTCTGGTCCAGCCCATGCAGACGCAGCCACATGGCTAGGCCAAAGTTGGTGGTCGCAGGTGTGATTGAGGCCCGGTGAGGCTGGGGAGCTTGGCCTCCCGCCCCGACACCTTGACAACAGATACCTGGTCTCACCGCGGCCCCCAGCCCTCAGGTTGAGGGGGTTGTGTATGCCCACCCCTCTCCCCACCCAGGCCTCTTCAGACGTTCTGGTCCAAAAACATGCCTGCTGGTGGCACCTCTCTGACCCCAGGCTTCCAGAACAAGGGCATGCCCTGCAGACCCCCCAGGTCGGGGCATGGCTCCCTCAGAGCCCCCAGGGCCAGGGCTGAGGGCTGGTGGCCCGTGGGTGGCACAGGCCCACTTTAGAGTCTGCGTCCTGAACAGCCTCTGCCCTGGGCTCGGCGCACTCCTGGGTCAGGGCTGTCTCCCTCAGCCATGCCCACACGCAGAGACGCCCTTCTAGGGCAGCCCGGGGGCCCCAGCTCCCTGCCCGCCTACCCCTGCGCAGCGTGGGCCTGGCCTTGCCTGCTCTGTCGCGCTCGGCCAGGCTGGCTCCTGTGGGTGGCCGGGTGGACCCTGCTGGGCTGGGTGCCCTCCCCCAGGCCTGGCCTCCCTCGGCCGAGTGAGTGGTGCGGGTCACCTTGCTCTTCCTGGCAGCAGCCGTGGGCTCAGACCTCGGTGTCAGTCGTGGACAGGGCACGCCGGCCATCCACACTCCCTCCCGCCCTGGCAGGGGGCAGAAGGTGGGGGTGGGGGACCACAGGCCCTGTTCTCCTTGGGAAGCTGTGTGGCCCTGTCCTGGGCTCTGAGCCCCTACTCTGTCCCCCTCCCCACCCTGTGTTGGCCTCTGGGGTCACCAGGTGAATTGGACCCAGAACCGGGGAAGAGAGGACAATGTTTCTGACCAACAGGCAAAGGTCTGGTGTCTGTGGGGTCAGGAAAGGCATTCGCCCTGCCTGGTAGTACACAGGCATGGGGGCAGATGTGGGCTGCAGAGGTGCTGGCCCTCACGCCCATCTCCCCTGCTCAGGGCTCCTTCCCACCCTCTCTGCCTCTGGGAACAGAGGGAGGGCCTCCCTCCTTACAGCAGAGTCCAGACCCTCCTTCCAGTGTGGCCAGGGTGCCATGAGGGCTCTTTCTTGGCGTCTCTGCTTCCGATGGCCCCAGAGTGACCAGCCAGGCAGGCCACTCCCGGGGTTTGTAATGAGGATGAGGCCCCTTTCTTCCCTGGAATCCAGCACCGAGGAACAGTCATGGCGGGGGGCGGGGCAGCCAGAGGGAGCAGGGTCCCAGTCGTCTTGGAGGGCCCACTGCCCTGCACTCCAGTCACGCCCAGGACCTGTGAGGAAACACCTCAGGGTCTCAGAAGCTCAATTCCTTCAGGCATGCAGGCCCACATTGTTCATCTGTCCAGCCTGCCCTCCCACTCTGGCCTCCCCACTCCCTTCCACATGTCCACACCCCAGGAACACTCAGGGTTCATTTTCTCTAGTCCTCACACACCCTCAGCCCCATCCACACCAACCCTGGGGAGTCTCACCTTCCCTTGCCCCACCAAGCCCCACTGGCGGAGGGCGATTGAAGATCCCTGGTGTCCAGCACCAGCCCAGCGGTGCTGCCCCTGCTCCTGCATTCTCAGCAGACTACCTTGCCCCTACTCCTCTGCGAAGCTCCCAGCCTTCCACCTCTAGACTGGCACCCTGCCCACCCTGTGCCCGGTATCACCCCCCCACCCCTGTCCTGATGCCCCCTCTTCTCCTGCGGCCCCCTTGGAAGTGCGGGCCCTGGCCCCGGCATCTTTCTCCTCTCCTGGGCTTGCAGCTCCCCTCTCTTCTTCCTACTGGTTCCTCTTCTTTTTTTTTTTCAACTTTTTTATTGTGATAAAATACACATAATATGAATTTGCCATCTTAACCATTTTTAAGCATACAGTTCAGTGACATTACATTCACATTGTTGTGTGACTGCCACCGCCACCCATCTCCAGAACTCTTTCATCTTCCCAAACTGAAACCCTATCCCCACCAAACACTAACTCCTCCTCCCCCCAGCCCCTGGCACCCACCATTCTACTTTCTGTCTCTGAATTTGACTGCTCTGGGTCCCTCATATAAGTGGACTCATACAGTATTTGTCCTTTTGCGACTGGCTTATCTCACTCAGCATAATGTGTTCAAGGTTCATCCAGGTTGTATCATGTGACAGGATTTCCTTCCTTTTTAAGGCTAAAGAATATTCTATTGTGTGAATGGACCACATTCTGTTTATCTGTCCATCCCTTGGTGGGCACTTGGGTTGCTTCCGCCTTTTGGCCATTGTGAACACTGATGCTGTGAACATGGTGTACAGAGATCTCTGCAAAACCCTGCCCTCACTTCCTTTGGGTCTACACCCAGAAGCAGCTTTGCTGGATCATATGGTGATTCTCTGATTAATTTTTGGACTGGTTCCTCTCCTTCTGCATGTAAACACACCCAAGTGTCTCTCATTAAAACAATTATTAGAAACAAACCCCTGAAAAGCCCTCTCTTTCCTTAATTTTCTACCCAACCTCCCTCCTCACTCCTTCCTTATACAGCTCTTGATGGCACCGCTGGTGACATCTCCACGTGCCAGGAGCTGAACTCTCATCAGTCACCCATCTGACACTGCCACTCACCCCAGGCTTTCTACATGGAACACAGCCCAGAGCATCCCAGAGGCTGTCCTCCCCACCCCTGACCCCGCCCACTCCCTGATCCCACCCACTCAGGCTGTCCTCCCCC